TCTCCTGCTTCAGCCTCCCAAGTAGCTGGCACTACAAGCACACACCACCACACCTGGCTACTTTTTGTATTTTTAGGAGATATGGGGTTTCACCATGTTGGCCAGGCTTGTCTTGAACTCCTGACCTTAGGTGGTCCACCCACCTTGGCTTCCCTAAGTGCTGGGATTACAGGCATGAGCCACCCTGCACCCAGCCAGGATTCTGGATTTTTAACATCTGCACTTGGAAACTTGTTCACAACTGTGAGACTAAAATAGATGTTGGTTATCTCATTCTTTGCTTTTTTTCACCAAATAATATATACATAAAATCCTTTCTCAGCCAGGCACGGTGGCTCATGCCTGTAATCTCAGCACTTTGGGAGGCTGAGGCAGCTGGATAATAAGGTCAGGAGTTCGAGACCAGCCTTGCCAATATTGTGAAACCCTATCTCTACTAAAAATACGAAAATTAGCCGGGCGTGGTGGTGGCCGCCTGTAGTCCCAGCTACTCAGGAGGCAGAGCCAGGAGAATTGCTTGAACATGGGAGGCAGAGTTTGCAGTGAGCCAAGATCATGCCACTGTACTCCAGCCTGGGCGACAGAGCAAGAGTCCATCTCAAAAAAAAAAAAAAAAAAAATCCTTTCTCACATTCCCAGGAGGTAAATCTGTCTGGGGCTCATTGTGATTAAGGCCACAGGATGGGTTACCTGGCTGAAAGGTCCTCTGTTGGATCCCTTCTGCTGCACAATTTGCTCATCAGTATAGTGTGGATGCCCTCAGGCCCTGTGGCTAGGGCAGGAGAACACAGACCCCTGGAGTGACTTATGGACAGGTGTTTCAGACTCTGCTGATCTGGAGGGACAGGAGGTAGAGGGGTCTGCAGGATTGGCTCCACTTCCCATGTGCTAAAAATTCCCTGCTGACAGTGAGAAGTTGCTCACCACAACTTCTGCCTCCTGGATTCAAGCTATTTTCATCATGAAAATTGCTTGAGTAGCTGGGGGACTACAGGAATGTACCACCATGCCGGCTAAATTTTGTATTTTTAGTAGAGATGGGGTTTCACCATGCTGGCCAGGCTGGTCTTGAACTCCTGACCTCGGGTGATCTGCCTGCTTCAGCCTCCCAAAGTTCTGGGATTATAGGCATGAGTCACCGCACCATGACTATCTTTTAATTCCTTGCATGAAGCTGCCTCTTCCCACCACAGGGGCTTAGCATTTGCTAATTCCTCTGCATGGAACACTTCCTTTCTCCTTCTGCCCATACTTAACCAGGGTAATTCCTGTTTATCCTTAAAGTCTTAGATGTAATTTCATTTCATTAGGAAAGTCTTCCTTGATCTCCCAGACCAAATTACATCTCACATTACAATCTCTCAACACGCTATTCACCTCTCCTTCCCAGCACTCATTACAACTGGGATTTTACATTTAATCGTGCCTTTCGGTGTATCATGACTATCTTACACTATAGACTGCAAGTTGCAGGAGGGCTGGGACTATATTGTGAGTTGCTGGAGAAAAGTTTCTACTGGTGTACCAGTGGTTTCTGTCTGAGGTCCGGTCCCACTCAGTATTTTGCTGTTTTTCTGAGACAGGGTCTCAGTCTGTCTCCCAGGCTGGAGTTTATTGGCATGATCACAGCTCACTGCAGCCTCAACCTCCCAGGCTCAAGCAGTCCTCCACCTCAGCCTCCTAAGTAGCTGGTAGTCACAGGCCACCATGCCAGGCTAATTTTTTTTTTTAATTTTCTGTAGAAAACAGGTCTCAGTATGTTTTCAGGGCTGGTCTCAAACTCCTGGGCTGAAGCAATTCTTCCACCTTGGCCTCCCAAATTCCTGGGATTACCGGTATGAGCCACCATGCCCAGCCTATAGTTGAACTTTAAAGCAAGGATGATTAGTCCCTCCCCAAAACTAACCCCCAAGGAGATAAGGTGGGTATACACATAAGTAACAATGTTATGTTAAAAATTTATAGGAGCATTGTGACCTAACAAGGACAAAGAAGCTTACCCTCACTGCCACCCAGATGTCTGTGATCATTGGTCACTTTTTGACCTAAACCTCTTCCTATTTTCCCCCTCCCCTAACATAAAAGGAGCCAAAAATTCACATTTACTTAAGAAGGTTCTTTAGGACAGTAGTCTGCCATCTTGGTTTGCTGGCTCCCCAGAAATAAAGTCATCTTCTCTGCTCCAATCCCCATCTCTTGACTGATCGGCTGTTGTGTGGCGAGCAGTACAAGCTTTGGACTCAGTTACAGCAGTCCACCAAAATTGCAGCCCCCAGCTTCAGAAGAGATGCTCTTAAAGGTCTCTCATGATCTTTTATTTCCACCAATTCTGATAAGTGCTTTTTCATTTGTGTATGGTTTTATTTCATTTATTCCTATTTTTGTTTTATAATTCCTTTTTTGTTGTGTAGATATTATACATCTATTTCTCTTTTTAAGGAGTCTTTGAAGTACATATATTTCTTTTATTTTCTATCCCCCATCTTTTTCTTAGGAAGGGAATGTCCTCTTTTCCTGTATATTCTTCTACTAATTTTATTTTGTTTGGGGAGATTTCACGTTTTGGCTGTTGATTGTTATTGTCAGTGTTTTTTAGAAAAGTTTTAAAAATATGTTTTGGAAATTTGGTTTGCAGATTTATTTTTAGTGGAAAGTTTATTTCTCCCTTTTCCTCTCTTTTGTCTGTCTTCCCATTCTTTTCCATGTGGAGTGGTTTACCTCTCTTCTATCTGGTCTCTGTGGCTCCCACTCTAAAGCCAGCTCCAATGCTGGGGCTCTGGGCTCCTGCCCTAGGGCTGTAGTAAAGATCCTGCCAACAAGTCTGCAGGCTGCTTGGTCAGGCTGCCTTCTGGCACTTGGCTTGCTGGAGAACATTTATTTTCTCTTACGTTCTGAGTAAAGAAAATAACTTGTATCTGAAGAGTGAAAGTCCTTTCAAATTATCAGGCCCAGAGAGACATTAAAAAGAGATGGTGGCTGGGTACTGTGGCTCACACCTGTAATCCCAGCACTTTGGAAGGTTGACAGGGGAGGATCGCTTAAGTCCAGGAGTTTGAGACCAACCTGGGCAACATGGCAAAACCCTACCTCTACAGAAAATACAAAATTAGCCACGTGTGGTGGTGCACACCTGTGGTCCTAGCTACTCAGGAGGCTGAGGTGAAAGGATCACCTGAACCTGGGAGGCTGAGGCTGCAACAAGTGATAATTGCACCACTGTGCTCCAGCCAGGGCAACAGAGTGAGACCCTGTCTCCAAAAAAAGAAAAAAAAATCGATGGCTGGCAATCATGTCCTACCCCTCATCCCCAGTAACCTATGTATTCATCTCTTGAAACTGCTTGCTGTTGCCACAAGTAGTTATAAATCCACCTAATAATGTGGCATCAGCCACTAGAACCCACACTCCACGCTTAACAATGTATAGCCAATCACTGTTATTTCCATAAACCAATGGGGATTCCTGACACAAATTTGTATCAGCCCATTCCCTGTCCCGCTTTGTCTTTTAAAACCTGCTTGTAACAAAAGCCTGAGGCAGAGTTTATTCTCAATTTACTTGGGCCTCAGCAGCTGTCCTCACCTTGGCTGAAGTAAATCCTTTAAATTATATTTTGTGCCTCAGCCTCTTCCTTTTAGGCCAACACTTCCCAGAAGCCATACTTCACGTGGCCTCTCTATACCTGCTTCTAGACTGAAAGTCCACCAGGGCATTGGCTTTTGCCCTGTACATGGCAAACCCATGGCTCTTTTTTTTTTTATTTTTTATTTTTTAACCCAAGGAGAGGTACAGAAGAGGGCAAAAAACACATATGTGAAACTAGTCCAGTTCTCCCATAGAATACATTTATGGGTTCTTTTGAATAAACATAGAAATTGACCTGCCTAGTCTTAAAACTTGACAAACTTACATTTGTTTTATCTGAGTTCCCTTCAGAGGAAACCAACCATCAGGCCTCTCAGACAGTATCAAGAAACTGAAACTTACCAGATCACCACATCAGGACAATGAGACACCAGATCCCTCACCTGTCATGATTGCCTAAACCAGCGGTCCCCAGCCTTTTGGGCACCAGGGACCAGTTTCATAGAAGAACATTTTTCCATGGGGTGTGGGGTTGGGGGCTGATGAGTATGGTTTCGGGATGAAACTGCTCCACCTCAGATCATTAGGCATTAGTTAGATTCTCATAAGGCGCACACAAGCTAGATCCCTCATGCACAGTTCATAATAGGGTTCGAGCTCCTAAGAGCATCTAAAGCCACGACTGATCTGACAGGAGATGGCGCTCAGGCAGTAATGCTCCCTCACCTGCCACTCACCGCCTGCTGTGTGACCCAGTTCCTAACTGGTCCATGGCCCAGGGGTTGGGGACCCCCGGCCTAACCAACCACCCACTTCCTGTTGAACAATTCTTCTTCCTTATCCCTCCCTATTTCCTATTTCCCCACACATAGTTACATTTCTTCCTTGCCATATAAACCCCTAATTTTAGTTAGTTGAGGAGATGAAGTTGAGACCAATCTCCCTTTTCCCTGGCTGCAGCACCTGAAAAAGCTTCTTTCCCTGGCCCTGGCAATTCTCGTTGCTTTGGTGATTGGCTTTCTGTGTGGCGAGCAATGAAACCTAGACTAAACGCTTGGTGTTTCAGTAACATATGTACAATTTAAATAAAATTGTATACACTTTAAAGTGGGTAATCATAACCGTCACTGACTTTGTCTTTTACATTTTTCTCTATATTTTTCTCTCTCTGTCACGTGCTTGGAGTAGTAGTGATCCCCGCCATGTGAACCTCTAATACTATCTTAATAGAGTACATCTGTCCACTATAACTGCAGTTTCAGTACAGTTATATGCTCTGGATCGTAGGATATTCTGGTCTCTTGGAGTCTTGGGTTTTGTGAGTAGCCCCAGAAGCTTTACTTATTTAGCCCCACTATCTTGTCGCTAGGTGAGGATACCATTGTTGCCTTTTCCTCCTATTAAATAATTATTACCTCAATATGTTTACAGCTTTTTCTCTTGATGTCTTGTCAGTTCAAGTCTGTGAGCTCTCTTCTTTATTCTACCTGCAAGAAAAGACAGGGCCATTTTATATATGGAGCCCCTTATATTGCCCCAATGCCTAAAGTCTGAAGCTTGTAGGCTTTGTCTTTTACATTTTTACATTTACAAAGATCGTGTGTGTGTGTGTGTGTGTGTGTGTGTATCCTAAAATATAAAAATTGCAAAACTGATAAATGTTTAAGTGCCTTCAAAATTAACATATCAATTTCATTACATGTTAAACTAGGATTTTATACACATTTTACATTTTGCAGCAATTTGAGATTGGGTTTCTTATTTCACAAGAATGTCTGATCATTTACAGATGCTAAGAAATCATAGCTAATTGTAAATTTTACAAGAGTTACATTTGGATTAAAGTTTTCAAACACAAAATTTTTAAAAAACACTTTATCTTTTACAGCAAAGAAACAATTTAAGGTCTGAATGTAACTTCATATCTTTGGTATGGTGTGGAGCTAGAATTCCAGAAGTTTTATATATATATATATATATATATATATATATATATATATATTTTTTTTTTTTTTTTTTTTTTTTTTTTTTTTTTTTGAGACTGAGTTTCGCTCTGTTGCCCAGACTGGAGTGCAGTGGCACGATCTCAGGTCACTGCAACCCCTACCTCCCGGGTTCATGCAATTCTCCTGCCTCAGCCTCCTGAGTAGCTGGGATTACAGGCGTGCGCCACCATACCCAGGTAATTTTTGTATTTCTAGTGGAGACGGGGATTCATCATGTTGGACAGGCTGGTCTCGAACTCCTCACCTCATGGGATTCACCCGACTCGTCTTCCCAACGTGCTGGGATTACAGGCGTGAACCACCACGCCCGGCCAGCAATAGATTTTAAAAGAGCTTTAGGGAACTGGGAGGAGCTGAAATCAGATATAAAGAAGGGAGATGCCGAAAGAGAGAGAATAAAAGCGCGTCCTAACGGGAAAGAAGCTGTCTGCTGAGCGTCTGCTGTGTGCCCTGTGCTGTTCCAGAAGTTGAGGATCCAAAACTAAGTCTAGGGTCCCCAAAGAAGTCCCAGTCTGGGGGGAATCTGACAAGCAGTTAAACGGTACAAAGCGTTCACTGTTACTATGGGAAGTGTGTGCACACTGAGGGGCAAGACGGTATGGGCGAGAACTCCCATGGGACGGGAACTAGGAAGGGTTCTTGGAGGTGACGCTTGATCTGCGGATAAGCAAAGGGAAAAAAGAAAGGGAGACCGGAAGAAAGGAAAAACAGGGCAGAGAAAAGAAGAAAGGCAAAGGCGACCCGGCTCGATGTGAGCGGCGCTCGGGTCCTCAGGAGTCGACTGCTAGGGTCTGACCGCGGTCCCCGCCCCCGTCCCGCCCCTGTCCCTCCCTCTCCGCCGCGCCGCCGCCGGCCCGGCCTGCGTGAATTCTGAGGCGGCCGGCTGTGCAGAGACGCCATGTACCGGCTCCTGTCAGCCGTGACTGCCCCGGCTGCCGCCCCCGGCGGCTTGGCCTCGAGCTGCGGAAGACGCGGGGTCCATCAGCGCGCCGGGCTGCCGCCGCTTGGGCACGGCTGGGTCGGGGGCCTCGGGCTGGGGCTGGGGCTGGCGCTCGGGGTGAAGCTGGCGGGTGGGCTGAGGGGCGCGGCTCCGGCGCAGCCCCCCGCGGCTCCTGACCCCGAGGCATCGCCTCTGGCCGAGCTGCCACAGGAGCAGTCCCTTGCCCCGTGGTCTCCGCAGACCCCGGCGCCGCCCCGCTCCAGGTGCTTCGCCAGAGCCATCGAGAGCAGCCGAGACCTGCTGCACAGGATCAAGGTGCGGCCCCTAGGGCGCGGGGCGTAGGCGGCCGGGGACCCAGCCCCCTCGGCGGTGCTGTCCGGGGCTGAGCGGACCCCGCCAAGGGCAGTGGGGTGCCGGCAGTCGGCTTCCGAGAAAGACTTCCCATTTCCTCACCGCTGAGCCTTGGTCAGACGCTCTTGGGGGTTCCCCAAATCGGGGCGGAGGTCACCGCCCGTCTCGGGGACTGCCCCTTCCCACAAGGGGCGGACAGGGCACGTCCCTCGCTGTGAGTTGAGTCTGGCCTGGGACGAGGTGGGCGGGGACGGTTGGAGGGGGCGGGGCCCGGGCGGAGGGGTGGGGCTCGGGTGGAGGGGGCGGAGTCCAGACGGAAAGGGCGAGGCCTTGGAAGGCCCCAGGAGAGGGCTGGGTGTTTTCAGCAGGTCTCTAACTGTAGGTTCTTTCCCCATCGCTTTAGGATGAGGTGGGCGCACCGGGCATAGTGGTTGGAGTTTCTGTAGATGGAAAGGAAGTCTGGTCAGAAGGTGGGTTCAGAAAATTGTTGTTTAGTAGATTGTTCTGTACCAGTTGGTAAATAAAATATTGTTTTACTGGTTGGAGAGAATCCCATGAAATGCTCTTTCGTTTACCTAAAGCGATGCATATTGTAGAGAAAACATCTAACAGAATAGAGAATTAGGTGTTTTTAATCACAGTAAGGTTTAAAATGTGGCTAATAAACTGGAGTCATAAAGATGGCTTGCTGCTACCCACTCCCACTTTTCTCTTACGACTGGATTTGTTGTACTGAAAGTTGTATACAGTAGTCCCCCCTATCCTAGGGATATATTCCAAGACCCTCAATGGATGCCTTGGAACGTGGATAGTGTGGAACCCTGTGTATACTATGTTTTCTCTTATACATACATACCTAGGATAAAGTTTAATTTATAAATTAGGCATAGTGAAGATTAACCACAATGACAGAATGCAACAGTCACAACAATACTCTGAGTGGCATGCAATTTAAAACTTTAGAATTGTTTATTTCTGGAATTTTCCATGTAATATTTTTGGACCATGGATAACTGAAACCGAGGAAAGCAAAACCACAGATGAGGGGTGACTACTGTGTAGAACAATCCATTAACTGAGTACTTGTAGGTAACACTTATGGGTAGCTAAAACTCAGAATTTGTGTATTTTTCTTTTTTAATTAACTCAACAATTTGTTGAGTCCTGTCTTCTGTAAAAGGCACAGTACTAAGTACTGGCTTTATTACGGTATCCATTGTCTTTAATGACTTCTCAGTCTACTTTATCAGGCTTTTTACCAGGCAGAGGTGTCAAATTTTTTTTTAAAACAAAAGGCAAGAAATTTAGGGAGAAGGATTTCTATCATTCTTTGTATCATTCTTTGTATCATTCTTTGATACTTTTATGATAGCATTTTTTGTATAACTTTTCCATTGCACATAAATTGATCCAGTTGGTCATCCCAGCTTTCTAGGAATACTACTTTTAGAAAATGAGGTTTCAGGCCCATCTTGGTGGCTCACACCTGTAATCCTAGCACTTTGAGAGGCGGAGGCAGACGGATTGCCTGAGCTCAGGAGTTTGAGAAAAGCCTGGGCAACATGGCAAAACCCCATCTCTACTAAAAACACAAAAAATTAGACAGGCATGCTGGTGCCTGTAATCTTGCTGCTTGGGAGGCTGAGGCACGAGAATCGCTTGAACCCAGAAGGCAAAGGTTGCAGTGAGCTGTGTCTGGGCAACAGACCAAGATTCTATCTCAAAAAAAAAGAAAAGTTTCAGATGTCATTTAAAGGCAGTAACACTTTTAGAAGTTGATGGGAACAGTAGGGGTTTGAATTTAAAGAAAAATGGGCCAGTGGAGGTGGCGCACACCTGTAATCCCAGCACTTTGGGAGGCCAGGGAGGATCTCTGAAGGCCAGAAGTTGGAGACCAGCTTGGGCACCGTAGTGACACCTGTGTCTCTATAGAAAATTTTAAATTTGTTTAAAAAGAAAAATGATTTTTCCTTCAAGTATAGCCTAATCATTATACCTAATTTATGATAAATCTCATAATCAAAAATTATACAAATGTCAGCTTTATGGACTTTATACAGATATTTTTTAGATATTTAATATTTATTCCTTTGGGTTCTTTTTTCTTCTCCTCCTCCTCCTCCTCCTCCTCCTCCTACTCCTTCTTCTTCTGACAAGGTCTCACTCTGTCACCCAGGCTGGAGTGCAGTGGCGTGATTTTGGCTCACTGCAGTCTCAACCTTTTTGGGCTCTGATGATTCTCCCACCTCAGCCTCCCAAGTAGCTTGGGACTACAGGTGCGCTCCACCATGTCAGACTTTTTAAAAAATAATTTTAGAGATGCGGTTTCTGCCATGTTGTTCAGTCTAGTCTCAAACTCCTGAGCTCAAGTAATCCACCTGTAATCCCAAAGTGCTGGGATTACAGGCACTTTCTCTTTCTTAATTAGATTTCCACACTTTCAGCCTGTAGAACAGGGAAACCAAATTTAAATATTTTCTAGAAAAAGTAAGTTAGTACATAATTTTTCTTCTGGTTTGCAGCCAAATTAAATTGATGGTTAGCTAGATTTGGTTTGCAGGACATCTTTTCACACTTTTTTTTTTTTGAGACAGAGTTTCACTCTGTCACTCAGGCTGGAGTACAGTGGCACGATCTCAGCTCACTGCAACCTCCGCCTCCTGGGTTCAAGCAATTCTCCTGCCTAAACCTCCTGAGTAGCTGGGATTACAGGCACGCACCACCACAACGGGCTAATTTTTGTGTTTTTTATAGAGACGGGGTTTCATCATGTTGGTCAGATGGCTGATCACCTGGATCCTGACCTCAGGTGATCCTCCTGCTTCGGCCTCCCAAAGTGCTGGGAGTACAGGCATAAGCCACTGCGCCTGACCCACACTTAGTTTTATTTAGTGGTTATTTCAAGGAATTTGGTGGAAATTTACTCAAAAGTCAAAAATAAATATAATCGAAAGAATAAAGATGTTTTATTTAAATAATATTTAAAATGTGGAATAACTTAGTTGTTTAGATAAGCTAAGACAAATGTGTATCTAAATCATAGAAAATTGCTATTGCAAATCGTGCAATTGCAGTTTTGTTATAAGGTTAAATTGTTAGGCTTACCAGTATACTAAGATTTTAATCTTTTACATGTCCAGTGTTAAGTAACTTATAAAAGTGGAATATATTTTCTTTTAGATAAAGACATGGGATGTTTAAAGGTAGTACTACTTCAGTTTTTGAAGACTTGTTTGACCATGAAACCTGTTAATAGTGACTTTTTGCTTTCTTCCCCCAAAGGTTTAGGTTATGCTGATGTTGAGAACCGTGTACCATGTAAACCTGAGACTGTTATGCGAATTGCCAGCATCAGCAAAAGTCTCACCATGGTTGCTCTTGCCAAGTTGTGGGAAGCAGGGAAGCTGGATCTTGATATTCCAGTACAACATTATGTTCCCGAATTCCCAGAAAAGGAATATGAAGGTGAAAAGGTAGTGAAACTTACCATTCATTTTATTAATGGCCTGTTAAATAGTTTATGCTGAAATTTATATTTAAAATGTTTCATAGCATTCTTTGGCTTGTTCGTAGTTACTGTTAGTGTATTAGTTTTTTCTTTTAATCCAGATGGTCATCAGGTAGGTATTTTTCTGAAATTTGAGGCTAAGGATTTGTACATGACATTTTCCCAGCAGCAACTCAAAATGGAAAATATTACTGAGACATGATTCCAGGGCAACTAACTTTCTATTGCACTGTTTAGTATTGTAATTGCATTCTCATGTTGTTACAATTAGGTTTCTGTCACAACAAGATTACTGATTTCCCATTTAAGTGGAATTCGTCATTATGAAAAGGACATGAAAAAGGTGAAAGAAGAGAAAGCTTATAAAGCCTTGAAGATGATGAAAGAGACTGTTGCATTTGAGCAAGAAAAAGAAGGCAAAAGCAATGAAAAGAATGACTTTACTAAATTTAAAACAGAGCAGGAGAATGAAGCCAAATGCCGGAATTCAAAACCTGGCAAGAAGAAGAATGATTTTGAACAAGGGGAATTATATTTGAAAGAAAAGTTTGAAAATTCAATTGAATCCCTAAAATTATTTAAAAATGATCCTTTGTTCTTTAAACCTGGTGAGTGTTAATCTCTTCTCTTAACAAAATCATCATTACTGAAATGTTAATTTTCAGGAAATCTAAAATGATACCCTCCGGAGTGCATTCAGTGAGGTTGACGATTGTGATGTGGGCCAGTCCGGTGCTCGTGGTTTTGTCTGTAGTTCCTGTCAAAGCCTAGCATCCAGGCGGGTCATCGTTTAAATTTTGCCTCATTAGAGACTACCTAGTCATTTAGAGGATTCTCAGTATCAAGCTATTCATGCAAAATTATGGAGAAATGTTGGAATAATAGTTCTCTAAATACAACCTGGACCAAAGTAGACATGATAAGATACTGCTGATATTTTACTATTTAGTTAGAAGGTAAATTGCTCAACTTACTTTGTGCCTTTGTTTCTTAAAGAAAGAAGTGTTTGGGTTGAGTGCAGTGGTTCATACCTGTACTCCCAGCACTTTGGGAAGCCAAGTCGGACAGATCTTGAGGTAGAGAAATCAGGACCATCCTAGCCAACATGGTGAAACCCCATCTCTACTAAAAATACAAAATTTAGCCGGGCATGGTGGCGCGCCCCTGTAGTCCCAGCCACTCAGGGGGCTGAGGCAGGAGAATTGCTTGAACCCAGGAGGCAGAGGTTGCCTTGAGCCAAGATCGCACCATTGTACTCTAGCCTGGGTGACAGAGCGAGACTCCATCTCAAAAACAAAAGTGAAAGAAAGAAATAACTGTTCATCAATTTTTTCCCAAAAAGCCAATCAATACAAATAATTATCTTTGTTTTTTTATTTTTTGATTTAATGCCTATTGAAGCTACTTAGTATCTAAATTTACCATAGGTTTATATACTTTTATTCTATTTTCATTTTAAAAGCTTTTAGTTGAATAAATGTTAATATATATAACTAATAAGAGCAAATATAATTTTGGATTTTTTCTTAAAAATAAAATTCCATGCTGGGTACAGTTGGCTCATGCCCAATAATCCCAGCACTTAGGGAGGCAAAGGTGGGAGGATCGCTTGAGCCCAGGAGTTTGCAACTAGTCTGGGCAACAAAGTGAGGCCCTGTCTCTACAAAAAATTTTTTTTAATTAGCCAGGTTCAGTGGCCTGCACCTGTAAGTAGTCGGGGCTACTCA